AAGGGGAGAGGGCTGCAGCAGCAGAGGGCATACTGACTCTGTCACAAATGCATGATAGATTCACCTTTACTCCTTAAGGCAGCCAGATGGGGCACGACCCTCCAAGGCCTGCTACCTCTGCAGTCTCATCTGAGACTGCCGTAGGGTGCTACTGGGGGAGAGCAGAATCTAATGATGTACCACGTGGTCTCCAAAGGTCTGAGGGACATCTACCCAGAGATGCTGAATGAGGGGAGCAGGGTCAGCAGCTGCAGAGGGTCCAGGCCCTTCTGGAGGAAGGGCTTTGTGTATCAGGTATCAGAGGAGCCTGCCCAAAGCTCACCAAACTGCCAGCAGAGGAGGCAGGGCTTGAGATGGAGCTGTTGGTTCTCCAGCTGGGGAAGGCAGCCCTAAATCCCATCCTCCACTGGGTATTTCACCTTTGGGCTGACTTACTGTCTTTTTAGTAGCATGCAAACTAACCGATGAAAGCAAGTTAAAGCTTTGTCATTGTGAAAGATTTGATGTGAAAAAGTTCAATTATAATCAAAACCCACTCACATAAGAAAGCATATGTCAGTGAAAGAAAAAGAAGAGCTACTGGGTTCTTAAAATACACTTCAACCACTCAAAACTTTTAAAAGGTATAATAATGGTTTTAATAGACAGAAGATTTATTATCTTCTGTCTATACAGTTTCTCACCTGAAGGTTATTATCAGAAGTTGGAAGAGGTCACTATTCAAACATCTTAATTGGTAAATATGTAGAGTTGTTACAATAAAACTATATATTGTGTTGGCCAAAAAGTTCATTTAGTTTTTTCTGTAAAATAAAAACACATTTCTCATTTTCACCAATAACTTTATTGATTTGGATATTTTGAGTATGTCAGCTATCTCCTATGTGGTATAGTGTTGATCTCACTTAATACCTGTTGGGGACCACCCTGCCTGGTCTCAGGAAGCTGTAACTCCCTATGACTTAGGCTGAGTGAAAGACCTCCAGACCAGGAGCCACTAAAGAGATAAAACTTACTTCCCTGGCATGATCGGCAGTCAAAGATGGGTAACAATTCTCCAAGAAAGAGAATGAATCTAAGACAGACTCGATCATGTGAGAATGCCCTAAGGGAAGAGACTCGGGGCTGTGGAAATGAAGGCATGATGGATATCGACCCCTGGCTGCCTCTGTCTCCTGCCCTTCTCAGCCTGTGGAAATTAGTAGGAGCGGTGCAGCCCAGACAAGAAACGGCGAAACCCCCGCCCTGCCCCCTCCCCCACCCCGGGTAATCAGGCCTGGGACATAGAATATGCAAGATCCTGTGAGATTTGTTTGCTGGAGGATGTTATTAACTTGGAATTTAAAGGCGCAGATAGGAAACCTTTGGAACCTGCAGTCCTTTCATATGATAAAACTCAAACCTCTGCCCAAAATCACAGCAGGAGTTCTGTCTGCATCTTTGTAAGTCACCTATTTCTTTTGATCTTTTCTGCCAGACTGTGAATCCACAAACTAAGTCTGTATTCTCAATAAAAATCTGCTTGGGAATAGATACGGTGCACTCTCCACTAGAGTGAGTGGCCATAGCGCTCCACGAGAGAGAGTGGCCCTTCTGTCCCTATTCCGCCACAGGACCTGGTTGTCTCTGTGTATGTTTTTCTCGTGTTTCGATGAGCATCCACAGCCAAGATGGATACTGCTGGCCGGTATCCTCTACAATGCCTGGATTTGATGGCTATCAACTTTAACTAGTCTGCCCGACTGTGGCACATCGTCCAGTGAGAAATCTCCAGCACGAAACTTCACAAACCACTTTTGACACATTCAGTCAGTCGGAGCACCTTCTCCATATACTGCAGAAATCTTTTTTGTGTGTTTCAGTTGTGCCTTTACATTTCTTGAAATAATAAAGCATAATATGCTGAAAAGTTGTGTATTTTCTTCCATCTTCAATATTAAAATGGCTACAAAAATTCACCAATTTGGTAAGTTGTTTTTTTTTAAGGACACTTATGGGACAGCTGTCACAATACAATCTAACAAAATTGTTTCAAATGAAGTTAAAGAAAATTAAGTGCTACTGGAGCTGTTGTACAGAAAAAAACCGAATGAACTTTTTTGACCCTCCCAATAGGAAACAGTTATGCTCATGAAATCAGGTTCAAGTTCCCCTTTAAAAATATTTTATTTAAAGCTTTATTCAAAATCAGTATTTAATTATCTTCCTTGAATTATTTAAGAAAACCAAACACATTTTTCACCAACCCACATGTAGGTATTCCCTAATTTACTCCAATTTATCCAGTATTCTCTAAAATATTGTATTTTATAAGTATGCAAAATACTGGCAAGCAATGTCCTGTTGTATTTACCAGCATAGAGCCCTATGTGGAGTTCCATAGGCCAATGCACTGTCCATAACCTACCCATTGTCAGTGATTTTGATTCCATGAGTAAGTAAGTTCTGATGTCCAAACTACAGATTACAAACCCATTACTGCCTGACCTGTGACTAGAGAGAAAGCCTCTTCAAGTTACAACTTATTTTTAAAGTGCATTTTGTTTCCTGCCAACAGCTTTAAGAGGTCTGGTTAGTAATGTATTTGATAATGGCTTCTTGAGTAACTCCACCACCCGTGCACACTGACTCAGGAGGCGTCTCTCTGACCAGTTTAAATGTCACTTTCCTAGTGCTTCTAAAAGAACAGGATCACTCTTGTAAGCCCAGGTTAACTGTCCTGATCAAAGCCCTGGCCGTGTAGCTCAGTTGGTTACAATGTTGTCCAGATACACCAAGGTTGGGGGTCCCACCTCTGGTCAGGGCACACAGGAGAAGCAACAATTGAATGCACAAATAACTGGAACAACAAACTGATGTTTCTCTCCCTCCTTTCTTCTCTTTCTCTAAAATCAATAATTAAAAAAAATAAGAAAGTCTCATCAAGAAAAATTTTAGTTCTTTCTTTTTAGTTCTCCTTCAGTCTCTTCTGAGTCACCAGATACAATCTCTGTTAGAGTTTTAAAATGTTTTTGAGTAACACCTCTTAATTTACCCTGTTAGGTGAGATCTGTCTGGTAAGCCAGAACCCTGCTGCAGCAACTATCTCACCAGTCTCTAAAATGCAGCTGTGTTTGGGAGATCTGTGTAGGAAGTTAGGCTAATACTTAGTTCCCAGAAGATTAGGTGTGGTTTTAATGATCTCACTCAAGCGGGTGGGGGCAGAATGGTTCCATGTTTCTATTTTTAAAATGCTTATAAAGATCATCCTTCCTTGGTCAAGGGAAGCAGAGGAGGGACAGACTGGTCTCAGGCTACCATTGGAAGTAACAACCTGGCCAGCCTGGTTTACAGAGGAAAAAAAAGCATTCAAACTTCATTTTCAGCCGAAACTGGGATAATCTGCTCTGGAGACTGGGCCGCAGTCCACAGAGTTCCAGTCCAGACCAGGGAGGTTCTACCCCTCTACCTGGGCTTGCAATCCCTACCAATTTAGAGCCCCAGGGTTGGTGCAAGCCGCGCTCCCTCCCTCCAGAATTTGAAAAACAAGTCCCCAAGAAAGGCTTTTCCACCAGGTGCCTGGGACTCCTCCACTTCCCGAGTTCACGTGGAGATTTTGATGCGGTTTTGAACGAGCTTGGGTTCTGGAAAGGGCAGGGGGTGGCCTCAGAGTGTGAGGCCGTTTGAATCCGGGCGCTTCCAGGTGGGTAACACACAGGGGATGTCTGCCTAATATCATCTTTTCTCAGGCTGTCTTGCCAAATGTCTGGCTCATAAGTGCTGGACACTAAGGCACTATTGGGGGCTGGGGTGGGGGTTGGGGGGTTCGAAGGGCAGCCTACAACTCAGGAAGTACTGGGAATGTCCTGACAAGTGTTTCGTGAAAAGAGGCGCTATTTCCCTAGAACAATTGTATTTCGGCTTTACCTGGAGTAAACACTTTCCACTCAAGAAGGAAGAACACTATAAACGATCTTTGATCTTCTTTCCAATCAGAACAGAAAATCCCGGACTCACAGCTGGGGTTAGGAAGAGAACGGTTGACACACTTCGTAGTGGGGCGGTGACATAAAATAACCAGGTCCAACAAAAAACAAAACCAGGTTTTCCTGGAGGAGTACACCAACCCCTCTCCAGGTGCTCGTCCTCCAGGTTCTCGCCCAGCCTGCTGCAGCCTTAACCAAACCTTTAAATCCAAGTACGTGGGTCCGGACCACCGGCAGTAGCACTGCGTGTTTGGTCTTGGACCGGAACCTGGACGAGGCTAAAGGAGGCCAGACGCTACTGCGCCTCCCGCAGCGCAGCGGGGACAGCACAAGCACCTTGGTCCGCCAGGGGCTCGGTGGCCCGGGAAAGGGCCTGGGACCCCTGAACAACACCTAGGGCGCACCCTCATTAGGAATACGATCTTCTTCCTGGGACCCGGAAGGGGAGCGGAGGCGCGGTCGCGCTTTATAACTCCACCCGGTTTTCCGGCCACCAGGTCCGAGGGAAAACTCAAAGGTGTCCCAGGCGCTCGACTACAGTCCCCGGCCCCTAGGTGGCGTGGCGATCCCCGACTCGAACGCTCAGAGCGGGCTCCTCCCGAAACTACGCTCGCTCCTCCCTCATCTCGCCTACTGCTCCGCCCGGGAGCCCCGAGGGCAAACGGGGGGGAGGACGGAATTTCCCTGCGCTGGGGCTTAGGCTTCCCCGCAATTCTTTCTGTTTACGGAGAGAAAGGGGAAATGGAAAAGGCGGGGAGGCGGTGGCTAGCGCGCGCCGCGCCGCCCCTCCGCCGGCTCAGACGCTGTGAGTCAGGGGCAGACGAGGACTGCCGGGCCTCCTCAGTCCGCTCGGGTCAGGACCACGCACCAGGCTCTGGGGCCGGTCGCCCTGGCTCCAGCCTCTTCCACCGCCCGACCTCGGAGTCCCGGCGCGCCGGGCTCTGGAAGGCCGGCCACTCGCTGCGCGCCAAGCCGTCGGGGGGCGGTAGCTGGAGCGCCCAGGCTGCGGAGGCAAGCGGAGGCAGCAGGTAACCCCGAATTCGGGGGCTTAGGCGTTATCTTCTGGTCTCAGCTCTCCCTGATACCCCACCTCTCTCGCTGAGAGGCAGGGTGCCCCCGGTAGGGGGCAGATTCCGGGGCTCCTGAAGGTGGGGCGTGCCGACCTTTCGCTTGGCTGCGCTTCCGTCCTCCCGGCGGGTCGCGGCTGCGGCCACCACTGCTGGAAAGCACCTTGCGCAAGGGTCTCACGCGCTGTGGACTCGCGACTCCGCCCCCTTCCTCCTCCTTCCCGGATCCCTAGCTTACGAGCAGTGCGGGCCGGGCAGTGAGCGGGGAAGCAGGGACCCGCGCCAGCGCGCCTTCCACCGCGAATGCCTCCCGGACGGCTGCCTTCTCCGTGCCGACTCCCAGTGAGTGCACTTCAGAGGCTGGGGGCCCCGCTGCCGTCGGCCAAATGACCGGCGCTTTCAGATTTACGAACTCTTAAAAGCTCCCTAGACTTTCAGGAACGGGAGGAAGGGAGTGTGGGGCGGTGGGGAGTTGACGAGCAGAGAAGAGTTTGGAGAGCTGAAACTTAATTTCATGCTTACACCCTCCGGTAAAGGGTGAGTATAGCAGAACACGAACGCCGGGCTTTTGGTCTAAGAATATTACGGGGCGAAAAGTTATTTCACAGATATTTCCCGGTGGTAATGCGATATCAGGACTCCGAAATTCTTCTAGTTCTGGGCGGAGAACAATGCTTAGAAGGCAGCACGAGCTTATCCCAAAAGGAGAGAAGGCCACGAGCTGTCTTTAAGTGAGACATTACAGTGTCTACGTGTTTCGCTTTTGGAGATAGATTTTGATCCAGAATAAAGGGCGTCCTGATGAGAACAGGGAACGACACACTAGTACAGCTGCTTTACTTATCTGTGGCCTAAGTCTCAGGTATTTGCCAAGTAGAATATAATCCGCTTGCAGCAGACGCCCCCAACTCTGACGGGTTGAATTTGTGTACACCACTCCGGGCGCTTGGCCCTTTACTACTTCGTTCTATAAGGAAAATTAGATGGTTGAGGTATCTAGAGGTTCTCAAGCAGAGTGGCTGTGCTTCTGTGCAGCTAACTGCATCATTCTGGGGCTTTTTGTTGACAAAACGATATGATAGGAGATGTGCCCTGAGGGTCAGTGTGCTATTGTGGCTGAAAAAAATTGTTTGAATGGGAAGTAATTCGGGTATGCTCATCCTTTGTTAGGCAGAAGCTGATGCCTGTATCCTTGGCCATTTTTATTCCCGCTTGCCAGGAACCCTCCCTCACTTTTGTTTTCATAGATGCACGGGGCCAAGAATTTAACCTTAATGTTTAGCAATAGGATTTCCTCTTGGCTTTATGGATGATTTCTCAAGTAACTTGAAGGAAATCATTTTTACTGTATTTACCCATCTCTCCACTTCTAAAAGTGGCACAGTCATCTACTTTATTAAGAAGTAGGCATTTAATGAGGATTTTAAACTGTGGGGAAGGGTCTTTATTGTTAAAGTCGAATACCTTCACAATCACTTTTTCTACGTGAGTACTGATCATGAATAACTTGGAAATCTGCTAAGTGTCTGCTAAATTTAGGCTTGAACGTGCTGAGGCTCTTTGCAGGGATACTTAGTGGGCGGACTGGTCATCAGGGCTGCTCCGGGAGCGCGGGTTTGCGTGAGAGGAGCCGCGTGTTGCTAAGGAATTAATGCCTGACTCTGATGATAGTCTCAGTCATGCACTCCTCCACCGCCCCTGCCCTCCTTCAGGCCTCCCTCCCGCTCCCTTCCCCCTCCGGCCCTGCCCTGCCCTGCCCCCACTGCGAAGTTTGGGGTTGTGTGTATTTAAGCTCTTACTTAGGTTTTACATATAACTACTTGAGCCTTTCTGCGGGATTTAAAAACTGTCACCTGCCGTTCCTCTCTGGATCAGCTGACTGACTGGTAAACTGTACGGACTTTTCCTCCTCTTTCTTGAGTCACATTACTATTAGGAACTGTATTTTCTCTCAAGTCAGCCATTTGATAAGTCAGTCCAGCAACCTTGGAACTTTCCAGTCAGTGGGGTCCTAGATCGGGCTATTTTTGTTTTAACTTCTGTTTTTCAGTAAATTCTACAAGTAGAAACTGCAACTAAATGGCTCAGTGAAACCCAAGTCAGTGTTCCTCCCTTAACTGGAGAAATTCTTTTCATAACTCAGTAGACTCCAAGAGTGTATAAGATTTTGAGAGAGAGCTTTCTTTTCTCTCTTGATGCAACTGTGGTGATAACAGCCGTCAAAACATTTTGTAGGTTTCTGCCACTTTTTTCTTTGTCTTTTGTTTTAGATACAATCTTTAAAACCTTACTGTGAAGAAGCTGGGGACTAGGTAGCCACATCCCATTTGCAGATAAAGGAAGCCTAATATCTGCAAAGCCAGGTGGCTGACTCAGTCCTTGTATCTTTTATGCACCGAATAGCACTTACAAATGACACAGCTTATTTACCACGCACCAGACACTACTCCAAGCACATGAGCTCCTTTAGCCCTCACAGCTGTCCTATGAGGCAGGTGCAGTTGTGATTCCATTAACAGACGGGGGAGTTGAGGTGCACAGCTAAGGTGCTATAGCCCAAGTCATGCAGACATTAAGAGAGGGGCCAAGATTTGATCCCAGGCAGTGTGAGTCTAGATGGAACTTCAGACTGCAGGATGCTACATTGCTTTTCTGAAGCTCAATACATCACATCAGAAAATGAATGTCAAGTAAGTTAATGATGACACAACATTGTATGGTTCTTTGCTTTTGTTAGTTTTTAAATTACTTAATTTTTAAAAATTGTGTTAAGTTTATTGGGGTGGCATTTGTTAATAAAATTATATAGGTTTCTAGTGCACAGTTCTGTAATACACCATCTGTGTAGTGCGTGGTTCTTTTCTGAAACAAGGTGCACTCAGTGGCCGAGTGGTGCGTTGCCTGTAGGACGTTCCCTGGAGCCTCGCACTGCAGCTCCAGGCAGTCACTGTCGCTCTGAGTGTGGCATGGGTTAGGCTTGTGCTCCTGTGCGTCTGAGACACCTTCAGAGCCTGAGACACCTTCAGAGCGAGGCTGCGCTTTTGGGAGCACGATGGTTTAAGAAGACATACCGGCCTCCGGATTCTTTTAGGTCTCTCACATTTTTTTATCTTTAATTCTTTGGAGTACAGTTGTTCTAAAATTCTGAGCATCGTTTTTACCATTGGCTTACCTTCTTTTTCTCATTTACAAGTCCCCAGGTGTAGCATCTGATGTGTCTATAAGAACTGAAGTACAATAGTGGCTAATAGAGTTGATTGGCTTTAACTTGAGTGTTGCCTATGATAAATTTGGCTTTCCTGGCCTCCGTGTAAGACCACGGCTTCTAGAGGGTCATTGATCTACGTGTCAAATTAACTTTCTTGGCACCTCGAGGTGTATGCCTTGTAGTGAAAATTTCTGGTCTCAAGAGAGGCCAGCTGATTCACAGGTTAAATGAATCTTCTTTCCCTTTTTCATACGGCTCACTCGCAGAAGGAGGATTTGAGGCTTTTCCCATGTCTAAATGAGCTGTGTAAGGCATTTGCATCAGAATTATTCCTTAAAGTTGACCTATGACCATCAATTTGCTTAAATTAAAATCCATTTTACTTGCTTCTAGCTCTGGGGCCTGAATTTTATTTGTGAGGTTAACTCCTGAATGTGGTAAAGTAGTTCTTTTCCTTTAACACCCAAGGCGTAAAAGGCATAGAGACCCATGCAGGGAGGGCTGCCGCCTTGGGGGAGCAGCAGAGCTGGAAGTTGTAAAGGACCTGGCCGCCTCAGCTCCTGGGATTCCTGAGCTGTTTGTGTTTAGGGAAAGTTTGTTTCCAGTGGCTGTGGCTGATGCCACCTACTTAGTCAGTGAGGAGTAAGCTGTCTGGGTCTCAGGTTTCCCCTCTGCAAAGTGAGTGAGCTGGGCTGAAGGTTATCTAAGGTCCCTTGCTCCCCTGACAACTTGAATTCACACATCTGTAGACACAGAGCCCTCGTTTTTAAAATAAAGACATGTAGAAGCCCTATCATTTTATGTCAGCTTCCCACAGCTTCCCACCGACTTCAAATGCCAAAACACAAATATAGTGAACACAGTATTTATATTTTCTTTTGCAGACTGTCTGGAAAGCACAACAGTAATGGAGTACATGAGCACTGGAAGTGATAATAAAGAAGAAATTGATTTATTAATTCAACACTTGAATGTGTCTGATGTAATAGACATTATGGAAAATCTTTATGCAAGTGAAGAGCCAGCAGGTTATGAACCCAGTCTAATGACCATGTGTCAAGACAGCAATCGGAATGAGGAGCGTTCAGAGTCCCTGCTGCTCAGCGGCCAGGAGGGGCCATGGCTGTCGTCAGTCAGATATGGAACCGTGGAGGACCTGCTAGCTTTTGCGAACCACATATCCAACACTGCAAAGCGTCTTTATGGACACAGACGACAGGAATCTGGAATTTTATTAAATATGGTATGTCTTTTCCCAATCAGTTGAGTGCTGTGTGTGTAGCTTAACCCTGCAGCTTCATTTAATGCACAGTGGCATATGAATTTGCTTTATACTGGCTGGCAGGTATGATTTTTTAAAAATGTAACATCTGTAAGAATCAACTTCATGTTGAAGATACAAAAAGAGTCTTCATTAAAAGTTCCAATAAAAATTTTTGGTAGTAGTTTTACAAATAGGGGATGAAGGGAAGTGTATTTTAATTTAACAATTAATTAAAAAGCTGACTTATCAATTAGGAAGAAGAGAAAGACTTAATGAGAATCCTTCCTTCATCTGAGGGGGAATAGTTAATACTTCTGAAAGTGGGTTTTTTCTTCTTTTTTTCTTTTCACATCTGGAAAAGTCACAACATCAATACTGGCTAAATTCAGTCGTAGAAATGTAATGTGTAGGCAGTAAATAGCTATGTATAGATTCACTCTCTTTAATTGACACAGTATGGATGACACATGACATATTTACGTAGACCGAAGTATGCAAATCATCCAAAATATTATGACAACACTTTGTTGCCACACGAGTAGATCAGGTGATGTGTTTAGGTGTGCCTGGCATTCTCTCAGTCTCTTAGTGTGTCAGAGGTGATGGTAGGTGTTGGCTAAAGGTGATCTAATTTTTGAAAAAGAACAACAGAGGAGTAGGCGGTAACTTGCAGAGCCTGCTTATTGATGAAAGTGACTCCTTTGACTTTGATGCATGTAAACAGCAAAATGGCTAATGTGGGGAGAAGGTCAGTGCTGAACAGTAAAGAGTCTGGACAAAGAATTCAATTCTTTTTGGTTTTTCGCATACTACATTCATTCAGTTAAAAACAACACAGTAATTTAGGACAGCTATGTAGTGAATTATTTTATTAGAAGCCAGTTATGTTCATCTGTAGTTCAGTTTGGAGGAAGATTACATTTTACATGGTTGTGTGACTTATTTTGGTCTGGTGTATCAAATTGTATTTAATAGTTGATGAAGTACTTTACATTGAGAATATTACTTCAGCTGATCATTAAACTAAAAGCAACACCTGATTTTTGTAGTTAAAATACAACTAAAGAACTCCAGTTCAAAATTATATAAATATATATCCATAGTGACAAACATAATTGGTTACGTATTTCTTTTTTTAACATTTATTTGTCAAAATGGACATTTCAAGGGAAAACATGCAGAGTAAACAAATTACTCTAGCTTGTAAATATGTAGAGACTCAGTTGCGCTTCCCCTGGCCCCTCAGACTAGTGAGAGATGGCACATAGACCTTCCCTGGGAATGCACAGAAGGAATCCAGGAAACTTACAACAAGTACAAAGAAGTAGCTTCCTGAAGGTTTTGGAGTTTGAAAAAAAAAAAAAGCCAATTCAGAAAAGGAGAGAAATGAAGACATTTAAAGAAAGTGAAAATTCTAGATGAGCTAAGGGTAAGAGTAGTGTCAGTTCCTGGCATAGGGTCTGTGCCCTGTAAATGAAGAAATCCATATTTAGGAGGAAATTTAAGAATAGGATATATATTGGGTTGGCCAAAATGTCTGTTTAGTTTTTTTCCTTAAACTGAAAGACACATTTTTCATTTTCATCAATAACTCTATTAGTTTGGATATTTTGAGATGTCACTATCTCCTGCTATTGACTTCTAGTGGGTAGAGGCCAGGGGTGCTGCTAAACATCTTCCACTGCATAAGGCAGCCCCACAGCAGAGTTTTATGGCCAAAATGGCCATAGTACCACGAAACTTCGCAAAGCACCTTCTCCATACATTGCACAGATACTTTTGCTTTTCAGTTGTGTTTTTACCTTTCTTGAAATAATAAAGCATAAGACTTGAAAAATGTTGATTATTTTCTTCCATCTTCATTGTTAAAGTAGGTACACAAAAATTCACCAATTTTGATACGTTTTTTAAAAATGCATGCTGATATGACAGCTGTCACAATACAATCTAACAAAATTGTTTTGAATGAAGTTAAAGACAACTAAGCACTACTAGAGCCATTGTACAGAAAAAACTAAATGAACTTTGTGGCCAGCTCAATTATAAGGCAGGGATCTTGAAAACCTTAAAAAGATGTTTTATTTTAAAAAATGATCAATAATGTAAAATATAAAGCAAAACTTAAAAACAAAACAATATCAGGAAAACCTTAAAATCCACGGGACCGTAGGCCGTGCCTCACTGGGAAAACCAGCCCGGTGTCAGATGGCTCTGGAGCCAGGGTTGGCTTTCCTGTCACTGCCCTTAAGAATCAGATCAATCCCTGTGACTGCTGCAGCCTGTCTCAGCTGTGTGTTTCGTGAGTAATGACATAGGAAACACGACTTTCTGTCTCTGATCATAGCCAGAGACAAGATAGTACAGGACGCAGGTTTGCTTCAACTCCCTTTCATCCTCACATCGTGGTCTCCTTGGAACCGTCCTGTGGTCAAAAGCTTTCTCTTCCCATGGTCTTCCCCCTAATACCCTCTCAAAACTTTTCTCTTTTGGGCTTCGTTTGCTGCTCTATCTGCTTTGCAAAATGACAGCTAATTATCTACCAAACAGCTTGGTTCCATGACAAAATCTACTGTAAGTGTATCTATGAATGGACCAAATGCTTTCATTCAAGTGTTCGCCATTCATTTGCTAGACAAGGCTGGAGCAGCCACAGTGTATTAGTGCTTTTCCACATGCAGGAGATACAGCACTGAATGGTTTGTGCTTTCTGGTAGCTTTCTGGTAGCTTACTGCGTGGCGATTGCAAGAGGCGAGTAAACAGGCAATCATAATGCAATGTGGTACTTCCCAGGACAACTATGCTATGATTGCTGTGGGGATGGTCAGAGAGAGTACCTCACGCAGCCATGGGGTGGGGGGTAGGGCAGCCAGGAGACTGTCAGAGAGGCTTCCAAGGGGAATTGATGCCTAAGTTATGGAATTAGAGTCAGCCAGATGAGGGGGTGGGGAGCAGAGTGTTCCAGCTGAAGAGAAGAGCACGTGCAAAGGCCTGGAGGCATGGAGACATGGAGTATTCCAGGCAACCAAGCACCACAGCGCCTGTGGAGGTAATTAGTTAACTAGGGTGGAGGTGCCACACCCCTAGGAATTACAAAAATATCCTAAAGCACAGCCATGTTAAATGATGGCCCACGTGTGTGTTCAGGTGTATGCTCTTTTACTAAAAATACTTAATAAAGAGTCCACCAACTTCCAGCAGGACCCGGGGAAGAAACTTTAGGAGACTAACACTGGGGTTGCTTTGTATAAGAGTGCTTTTCAGGTTATTGATAGTGTAGACAATTCATAACCTGATCTGGGGTGAATGACCTAAAATGAGTTCCAAACACTTGACTCTGTGGTGATATGAGGAGCTGAAGGGCCCACAGGGCTCCCTCCTAGACGTGGGTGTGAGAGGCTGCATGCTGTTCTTCAGGGGCTAGTCCTGGCTTCTCGGGGATGGAAAAACCTTAACGATACCGATCAAACCGTCTCCTGTCTGATGCTGCAATCACCCCACTTATCATCTCCAGTAACTGCTGGAGCTGTGATAAAGAGTTCATCATGTTGTGGGACATTTAATTTCATATTTGGCCAATTCTGGTTGTAAGACAGTCCCTCCTTCCTTCGATAAAACTAAAATCCATCTCTGATTCCTCTTAGTCCTGTTTCTACTCTTTGGCCATCAAAAGGTACATGGGATAAGTAGTGGGGAAGACTGTGAGCCCACAAATTAAATTGCTTGTGTATGTATCTTAGCTCTGAAATGGATTAGCTGTGTGACCTTGAGCTAGTTAGCACACCCCTCTGTGACTCAGTTTACTCATCTTGAAAATGGGTAACATGACAGCACTTACTCCATAGTTGTTAGAACGAATGATGAAGGCACGTGACCTGTTTACACATAGTGAGTGTTGAAAGAACACACACCATTGCGGTATTTGTTGTACATAATTGTTGCTCTTCTTCCTCGTGACAGTCCTGGCAATATTTTGAAAATTGCCTGTTCCCCACATTTCTTCTCCTCATTCACAAACACGTCTCATCGTGTCTGCAGCCTCTCAGGTATTGTAGTGTCAGCTGCCCCCAGCATCTGGTCTCTCCCATCATGCAGGCCTGTGCAGTGCCTGTCTCGAAGCCCAGCACATGAGTGTGGCGGGCCATTTGTGGTGTGACCAGTGGAGTGAGACAGGGCCAGCTGTGCCTCTGTTGTAGGTCAATGGCTTCTTTCATGGAGCCCGAGGACTCATCCATTTCATAGCAGCCACATCACATGGGTCTCTCACTAAGTTTATTTTCACTGAAATGCCTAAGGATTTTTCTGAAGTGCTGCTCCTGGCCCAGTATTGTCCAATACTTGTGACAGTGACCTGTCTGAGGAAGTCAAAAGCTTATATTTGCACTTGCAGTTGAAGAACTGGCAGAAACACGTAGCATGGAGATCCACAAGATTATTTGGTAGGGCCCCTGGGAAGAAGAAGAAGAAGAAGGGGGAAAACAAAAACATCTCAAACCCAAACAGGGAAGGAAGGTCCAGGGCGAGGGGAAAACCAGGGGCTGTGCAGAACTGCAAAGCAGCCCGTCACCCTGTCCACTAGGGCCTGTCCTCAAAGGTGGCCGAGGAGATCTTGTGGGGCATTCGGAGGGGACGCCCTGCCTGTGGCAGACTGTGAAATAGGGGTGAAGGCCCTTGCAGGACCTGATCCAAAGAGGAGAAGGCTAAGGTGTGTCCAGTGACATGTAAACATAGGGTTTTAATAACTGGTTTGGGTCTTGGCTTAGCTTTAATTATAGCTTCCTAGAAGATAAAAGGCTCTAATCCAAAGGATAGGAGTGGCAGCCTTGGGGTCAGACAGCTCTGAGTTTGAATCCTGACTCTGTCACTGACTTGCGAGTTACTTAACCTTTGAAGCCAGTTTTCTCATCTTTAAAAAGGAGATAAAAATAGCGCCGCGTAGGACTGTTGTGAGACTTGGTGAGATAATGTGTAAAGTACTGAGTCTAGTGCCTGTTTGATAATTGGCACTGGTTATGCGGCTGCTGTTATATGTTTCATCCTCTTAGAATAAGAGGGCACGGGTCAAATTGGATTATAACACACTTTGGTTAAGCAAAAGTAAAGCTTTTGTGGCAGTGAGTTAAACACCGAAGTGGATGACCAAGGGGCTCTGTTGAAACTGGATCTGTAAATATGTAATAACAAGAAAGGCAAGTAAGAAACTATTTTATATGTAAATTATGTGTCTATATCTTTTTTTAAAAAGAAAGGTAATATTCAAGTGCAGTTGAATGCGGTGAGCGTGGTTCTGCCTGAATGTGGGAGGGGACTAGATTCATCACGTTCTTATCTGGAAAAAGAGGCCTCCTGTAACCTGAGGTGACACACTTCTTGAAAAGAGGTCATATTTCAAAGGAGTTAAGTCTGTGGTCCGTCCTTAGTCATTTTCCCTCCAAGGCTCTGTGCAGGATCCCACAGAGGCAGTGCTTGGTAAATATTTCATTTTTCAATGAAGTGACTTCACATTTCTAAGCATTCGAGTTACTCCGTTTCATGCCCTAACAGTGAGCACATCTGTTTGCGGAGTGTGTCGCTAAGGTTAGCCATCGGGGAGACTGAGCAAATAGCCCTTCTGGTTAGTGGAACCTTCCCGGCTTGGAGGCCTGTAAGGAGCCCCCGCCACACCGAGTCTGTGCGTGAACCAGGTGTCCGTTCCTACCCCATGTGCCCTGCGGTCCCCTTTTGCTTTGTATGAGTAACGTGATGCTGCTGTGGCAGTTCCATAATTCCCGAATTCATAATCTAGTTACACTGAGGAAACACTTGTATTTTTGAGATGCTTTATCCCTTGGAAAAACGCTTTAAACATTTTTCAGGCCTGTACTCCATGTCATGTCTCTTGTGAGCTGACTACCTTATTAATTTGTTTTGATTTTAGTTATTTCTCTGTTTAATATTTTACTCTTTAAAAATTGAGATAGACCTTGTATGCAGTAAAATACACAGATCTTCAGTGTGCAGGTTGATGAGTTTTCACAATTGCAGCTGCTTGTAACCCACCCTGCTATCAGAATACATCTCCTGGTTTTGGAGTGGACTGGTTTTGAAATCTTTTATTCTGAGTGCTTGCTTACGAACTCTTGGAGGTCAGGGGTCATCTGTCTCTTAGGCATAGCTGCCTCCCCAGCACCAAACACAGTGCCTGGCACATATTATACACTCGATAAGTATTAAGTGAGTAAGTAGATGAGAAATAATTCTGCCCTTTATTTAGGTAGCACTGTCAACTCATAGCTCAGGCATAACACCTTGTTTTTCAGAGTCCTCCATGATCCTCACTCTATTTCCACACTCTCTCGGGGTGCATCATGTGTGAGTAATAGCTATGCGGACTAACAGGCTTGCATGGTCTAATTGGAAGCAAGTCACCTTGCAGGCACAGTTTATATTTATGCAATCTTTATTTTCGGCCTCTTGGTCACAGTAGTCACACTCCCTTAGGTAAACCATTTTTAAGTTCTACTTGGCAATTCATGACTCCTGAGTAGGTGGAAATCTGATCAGGTCCAACCAGGGATGGACATGTCTCTGTTACATGCTTTCTCTGCCTTGTCGAAACTAAATATAGTCCCTGCACACTGTTATGATTACACACAGTGACCGAACTTCAAACACTGTGAGGAGGAATGCAATCTAAAGTAACCAGTTTTTAGAGGGTGTGTCTTAGAAAAGGACTTTGCTGGGATTCTCACTCTCCTGCATTTTTATTTGTTGTAGGTAATCACTCCCCAAAACGGACGCTATCAGATAGACTCTGATGTTCTCCTCGTCCCCTGGAAGCTGACTTACAGGAATATTGGCTCCGATTTCATTCCTCGGGGGGCCTTTGGGAAAGTGTACTTAGCACAAGATATCAAGACCAAGAAAAGAATGGCATGTAAACTGGTATGTACTCTGTAACCAGACAGCGCGCACTGCATGTTTGGGATTGTGGCATTGCTTTGTTTATTTGCATTACTTAAAACTTGTTAGCCATCAACTGGATCTGGTCTAAGGCTGCCCGATTCAAAAGCACCTGTGTTTGGTGGGTTTGCTTGCTACCTGGGGCTGTTCAGCCCTGAAATCTGTTATAGTGCATTGTTGATTTTAACCTACTTTGCCATGATAAAAAAAGAAAGTGCTGGCTAATTTAGCACCAGTTTGGATAACGTCATCTCACGTCACCCCTCTTGTGGTGGGAGGGTGTAGAAGAGCACGTTCCTGTAGCATCAAAGTCTTGTGCTGCTCCTTTAGTCCCTCCCCCTGGGGGTGGGGGTCTGCCAGGGAAGCAGAAACTGGAAAAGGGTTAAATTTAAAAAGACCAATTCTTGAAAAGATCCCGTCTCTTCTTATTAGCCCATCATTGTGCACGTGGCCATCAAAAGCTGCATACTAGAGTGTCCATGGCAGCACCATTTGTAATAGTCCCAAGAAAATAAGTGACTTACAGTAATAATAATGTAGATGAGTCTCCTAATCTTTATGTTGAACTAAAACAGCCAGACACAAAATAAGATCTGCAGTATGAGATTCTACTTATAGAAAGGCCAGAAACAGGCTAACAAAATCCATGCTGTTAGAAGTCAGGTTAGTGGGTTCCCGGGGACTGGAAGGGGGGGTCCTGCAGGGGTCTCTGGGTGTGGGTTGAGTTCTGCTTCTTCATCTAGATGCAGGTTACATGGTGTGTTCGGCTGATAATTCATTGAGTTTGATCCTTAACCAGTGTTACACTTTTATGTATGTCTGTTTTACTTTGAAACATTTTTAAGTGCAATAAACTCATTTAACAAAAGTTAAATGAAAAATAATTGAAAATCATCTCACTCCCTGTTGTCAATTTAAAAGATTGACGATATGTTGGCCTCATTTGTTCCTTCATAGAAATTTGGTGGGCTCTCTGGTGTTAGAAGAAAAAGAGCAGGTGTCATAATAAGGCAAGTGAAGCTTGCACGCAGAGGGGACATGTTCAAGTTCTTTTAAAAAAAACCTAGTGATGTTTTACAAAGCTCTTAGAACCAAAGTGTCCCATGTGTCACTTTCCTCATAAAAGGCATGGGAAAAGAGCTTGTTTGTTTTCCTTGTCGTATTTATATTTAATTTTTAAGCTATATTTTTTTCTTAAAAAAGAAAAACATGTGATTACCAACCCCAGACAGATCAAAAGAGAGTAGGCTGAAGGATGAGATGCCTTTCCTTCAGGGAACGAGTGTTAATAGGTTCTTACATATCCTTCCAGAAAGTCCCTATGGACATACAGTTTAATTTTTCTTTTCTTTTTTTTTTTGCAAGTGGGAAAATAATATATGTACTTCATCTTTTTCACCTAGCACTCTATTTTGGAGACATTTCATATCTATCTGCACTGAAACATTTACTTCTTTCTTATGAATGACTTTTTTTTTATCCTCACCTGAGGATATGCTGATTGATTATAGAGAAAGGGGAAGAGAAGGAGAAAAGAGAAACATTGATATGAGAAGGGAAACATTAATTAGTTACCTCTCATACGTCCCCCAACTGGGAACTGAACCTGCAACCTAGACATGCATCCTGACCGGGAATCTAACCCATGGCCCTTTGGTTTATAGGACAGTTCTTCAACCAACTGAGCCACACCAGTCAGGGCCAAGTGCTTATTTTAAATGCATTGTTAGCATGAGCTGTGGGACCAAAGACATTATTTCATGACAAGAAATACTGAAACATGACCTAAAATCTAAGTATTTTAGAAATTACATCTATAATAAATAAGAAACTCTCTCTTTCGATTTAGTCATAAATGATTCTCTGGTTGGATTTCTATACTCTATATGAAAATAATTTATACTCCTGTTGTTTTTTAATTTTCTTATTTTGAATTGTTTATGTGAAGCCAGCGTAATGTAAAGACTCATCTCAAGTCAACGTTATTTCAACAAGGCAGTACAATCTTATACAGATCAGGGCACCCTGAGGGCGTTTATTTGTCTCCTATTTTGTGGGTTGACCTAAATTACGGTCACCTCCTGGTATCTAACGGGTAGTGGTCCCAGGAAACCTCAAAGATACCAACATCTTCAGATGTTTACGTCCCTTTTAGTTGGCCCTCCGGGTCCATGGGTGTGGACCCTGCATTGACCTGGAGTTATGTAGAGAGTCTTACCGGTATTTTTGTGTTTTAGATTCCAGTAGATCAATTTAAGCCATCCGATGTGGAAATCCAAGCTTGTTTTCGGCACGAGAACATCGCTGAGTTATATGGCGCCGTCCTATGGGGTGAAACTGTCCATCTCTTTATGGAAGCAGGCGAGGGCGGGTCTGTTCTGGAGAAACTGGAGAGCTGTGGACCAATGAGAGAATTTGAAATTATTTGGGTGACAAAGCATGTTCTCAAGGGACTTGATTTTCTACACTCAAAGAAAGTGATTCACCATGATATTAAACGTGAGTTACCTTTGGATATGGACCTTTCTGACTTCAAGAGACTCATCAGATGGGAGGCAAATGGGTGCTTTCCTTCAAACTAAAGATCCTCAGTGGCAGGGAGCACTGCCCCCTTGGAACACTGGGCACTTTCCTCCTCTGTGCTTCTGAAGCACCTTTTAGGATCAAGAGGGGTCGCTGGACTGTCAGCGTCATCAGGAAGGGTGCCTATTCAGCCATGGGAAAGATTAGAGCCTCACATCTATTAAGTGCCGCCTATGTCTTTATGGCTTTTAAAATACAAATTTACTTAAACACACACACACCTGCATGTTTCTGAGAAACAAATAGCTTTTCAATTTTGGACATCAATTTGGCAATAGTTTATTCAAGAAGCCTTCACTGACCGCTCTCTAGGAGCAAGCGATGAAGGAATGTGCAGAGAAACTGGCTGTGGACCCTTAAAGGTCAATTGCACTAGCAAAATGTTCACTGAGAAAAATGGGTATTTTACTTCTTTTGCTTTAGAAAGTGGCTTGATAATATGCTTATGTCATAGAATTTGAAACTCAAACTCTTGGTCATTACTGTGTGTTTTTCTAGCTTGAGATATAATTGACATACTACACTATGTAAGTTTAAGGTGTACAGTGTAATGATTTGATATATGTATATATTGCAAAATGATTACCACAATTAGGTTAATTAATTAATGTTTATCACCTTACATAGTTACAATTTGTTTTTGGTGGTGAGAACTTTTGAAGTCCACTCTTCTAGCAGCTTTCTGATGTACAGTGTGGTATTGTTCACTGTAGGCACGATGCTATGTGTGACATCCCCAGAACTTATTCATGTTGTAACTGCAATTTTTCCCCTTTGACCACATTCACCTGTTTTCCCCACCCACTGGCTCTGGCAACCACCAGTCTGTTCTGTTTTTATGAGTTGGGATTTTTTAGATTCCACATAGAAGTGAGATCACAGTGTTTGTTTTTCTCTGTCTGACTTATTTCACTTAGCACAGTGCCCTCAATGTCTATCTAGGTTGTCACAAATGGCAAGATTTCCTCCTTTTTTTGTGGCTGAATAATATTCTATCTCACACACACACGCACACACACACACACCACATTCTCCTTACCCATTTTTCCATCAGTCAACATTGAGGTAGATTCTATGTCTTAGCTGTTGTATCTTGGACTACAGTCATTTATGTCCACCTCAGCTGAATTCCTGACAGATCTGAAGTAATTTCACCTACACTCTCAGCCTCCTGTTTTGACTGTATTACACCCATTTCAGTAGGGAAAGCTTCTCAATCTATTCTGATTTGGGACTTGCTGTTTTCGATAGTGTTTTCATTTTATTTATGTGTATGCAGACAATTTTATACTAAAAATGTTCTTCTCTTCATAGCTAGCAACATTGTTTTCATGTCCACAAAAGCCGTTTTGGTGGATTTTGGCCTAAGTGTTCAGATGACTGAAGACATCTATTTTCCTAAGGACCTCCGAGGAACAGAGGTATAATTTATATTCCCGCAAGAATGGTCAATTTCTTATAGAGCAAAAATAAAAAATGTTCTAGCATTACTGCAGAAAGGACAAAGGGGAGAAAAATCATTGCATTAAATGTTTATTATCATTGGAACATACTTAATGAGTGCTTGCTCGGTGCCAAGTGCTTGCTTTGGTGCTTTAAGTGAGTGGTTTTTTGATCCTCACCACAACCCTCTTGTTGGTAAATACTATCATCATAAGCAAGTACTGTTACAATTCTCATTTTACAATAAGCAAACGAGATTGAAAAGTTTAAAATAAAGTGCCCATAGCTTCTCAGTGAGGTATAGATCCAGAACTTGAACCCAGTTTTTTCTGAGTCTCAAGTCTAAGATCTAACCACTGTATACATTTTTAATACAACTAATGTGTATGTTTTTAGTTTATCTAATATTCCTGTTTTGGTTCATTTACAGCCACAATTTTCATGGTTAATAATATTTATTGATAACTGACAACATTTTAGGCCTATCTTTAATCCTAGGGATCTTATAATAAACCTCAAGTTTATTATAGCATAAATAAATTTTATTGAAGATGTGAACTAGTTATAATACTTACATTTGAGAAGAAAAATAAAGCAAAACCAAAATAAAACTTTCTTGAATCCAAATGAGGCTCAGAGAAATATGTTCCTGGGTTTTCAGAAAAAAATTAATTTAACATTCACATTATTAAGCTGATAGTTGGCGAGTGTCTGCTGAGCCTCTGCTTGCTGGCAGGCTGCTGTTGAGGGAGCTGTGTTAAATTTACCCGAGTCATTAACAGGCAACAACTTAGTTCACAGTCCATTACAACAGCCAATGGGGGTTGCACTTGGGAAGGTAATTGGGTGTAGTAGCTGCCTCCCCCGCTCATTCCACTGTAGTGGGTGCTTAACTGTCAGCCTCCCAGCCCCATGCCCTTCTCTCTGCTGGAAGTGCCCCCAGATCATGGTGGGAGGGGACTTTGCCTCAAGATTACCAGGTCAGTCTTAGTGTTCAACCTAATATCAACCCTTAGTCTAGCTGGTAGGTATATTGATTGTACTGAATTCAACTGCAATGCATGCCCCACCCCCCCAAAAAAACCCCGAAAACACTTCATTTCAAAACAAGATTCTGCAAGCCTTTTCTTTTTTCAAGACTTTATTTATTTTTAGAGAGAGGGAAAGAGAGGGAGAGATATATCGATTGGTTGCATCTCTCATGTTCCCCAACTAGGGATCAGGCCCACAATCCAGGCATGTGCCCTGACCAGGAATCAAACCAGCAACATTTCTCTTTGCATGATGATGCCCAACCAAATAAGGCACACTGGTCAGGGCTGTAAGCCTTTTCTTAACTCTTAGAAAGCAAAGACTGTCCGGGCAGCCGAAGAAATCCTTGTTTTTGCTGATATTACTGAAGTTATGCTGGAAAATACTTGAGAGAGGATTTTTGATAGTCATCTTTGAGCAGAATAATATTCAGAAGAGAAAACTGTAGACTTTTTTTTTAATGCTTTAGCCCAGGATCTTAAGAATACTTGCCCAAAGCACAAAATCTAATAATACTTAATGCTGAGGACTTTTTTTTGTGGAAAATGTTCAGCATATTTTGGCATTAGTCAGAAGTTCAGATAGAATGTTTGTGACATTCTATCATTTTTCCTGGAGCCAGCTTGAGAAACAAACTACTTATGGTATTAAAAATGGAAAATACCTTTTTCTTCCTGGCAAAATGACCAAATTGAACATTTTGCAATGTCTAGAGGAAGATATGCCCTTTCTGGGATTCTCTAGCATAAAAAGAATGTGTGCTGGAGTATGAGTTAATCTTACTACTCTCAAATAGTATATGAATTTGGTTATTTTAACTAAAAGTAAATTGCTTCAATTAGCTTTGGTCTTTAGTGTTTACAGTTATAAACTCTCTTCTATATCAGCCTGCCTTTACTATATGTGTGTCACTCAGGAGCTAAAATTTGATCATGAGCAAGGCTGTGAAATCACCAGTGGACATTTGTCAGCGAGCTTGTTTTTCTCATACTTGAAGACCCAATAAGATACAGTGAGTCAAAGTCAACCATACGGATTTGCTTTCCGTTGGAACTTACTCACTTGACTACTTCATAGCTGTAGATGATTTTTGGTCCCTGCACTATAGCTCATCAGTGCAGAGACTAGTCACCTGTGTTGGATCTCTCTCTCAGCATTTACATTCAGAACATTATATTGTAACCATATAATACATAGAGAGAGTGGACAAAAGTAGGTTTATAGTTTTGAGCACTTGAAACACAGATTTTATTCTTGTATTACATATTATTTATTAGTGTTACAGCTGTAAACTTACTTTTGTCCACCCCTGTATACAGGGTTAATCTGATATATATTTAATCTTGTTTTTTAATTACATGATGCAAAGAAAGAATAAATAATGAATGCAGGTAGCTAATTAGAATCACTGTTATAGCATGGTCCTTTTTAGAAAGTTTTTATATTCTTCTGATTCAATGCTTGGTCTTTATGTAAGTTCACATGCAATCATCATATGTGTGGACACACATACACACACAGTCTCTTCCCCTTTCTAATAAATGTGCTGAGAGGTGAGGGCCTTGACCCCTGATGTGACACCCAGGTTCCCCGTACCAGTGCCCATGCTCAAGGGTGTGCCACTCTCAGAGCCTCGCCCTGATCTCCGTGTCATCTGTCAGCCAGCTTGCAGAGTCCACGGGCTCCATGCCTTGCTGCTCTGGCTCTTGCAGAACTTGAGGAAGCAGGACCTCTGAGCCACTGGGCCTCGCAGCTCTGGGCAATCTGCCTGAGGGGCAACAGCCAGATCTCCAGGTGGACAGGACACTGCTGTCCCCAAATGTCAGTCACATAGAGCCTGCAGAGGCCTGCTGCACCGCTGCTGTGGGTTCCATCAACAGTAAACACTTTGATCCTTCTGCTGGGAGGTCAGGGAGTGGGCATCCCCTACTGACAGTTAAACCTGCCACTGCATTACTTTGTGATGGTGTTGAGTAAGAAAGTACTTCAGGACCTGTTTCTGCTTCAGGGGAAGTTTGAGAACAAGAAGATTGGTTTGGCCAGTTTGCCGAGAGACAGAGAGAGAGAATATGAGAATGAGTGCCAGAGCCAGCCCAGAAGTGTGTTGTAGGAAGTAGTTGAGCAGGGTTTAGATGGGGAAACCGGGCAATTTCCCCACTTTCTGTAAGCCGGTTCTTTACTTCTTTACTCTGATATGTATTCTGGGAACACTTAACCCTTCTCATTGTTCTCGTAACAAACAATATAGAATTTCTTAAAGTGAAATATTGTTCATTAAGATACGTCTAGACCAGCCATAAATACCGGTCATTGGGCACCAGGGTTTGCTCTCTTTTTCTCTTTCTTTTTAAAGTGTAGAAACAAACACTCCTTAGAGAAACTACTTCTAAATCTAGCCCTACTTTCCAAGCAGAGACTTCTGACACCAAATTGAACTGACACAGTGTTAACACAGCCTTGAATGTTTAGTCACTGGGCTGCATGGGAGGTAGAAATAACTTGTTCACAGAAATACCTAATTGAGATCACTTTTACAACATTTCACTTTTTAAAGTTCTTCTCTTTCAAGTGATCAGTGTTAATACCATGTGGGCTTCTGCTGCCTTTGATTACTGCAGGTAATTAGAGGTTTGGCAATTTAGTGACAAACAGGAAGTGGAGAATATTTGTGGTGTCCATTTAAATATGGAAGGAAGTGGTGTTTTAGCAGAAACATTAAACATGCATCAGTGCTTTGCAGAACTTTGATGAGCAGGGATCCCAGGTGGCTGTCCGTTATCCTCCTCAGCTTACGGGAGAGCACAGCAGTGGCGCTCCCCTGAAGGGATGAAGGTGCAATAAATAAACGTGGTACCAGTGGGTGAGCCAGCCTCCAGAACTGGACTGGGGAGACCCAGACAATGACGGCAGTCTGACCGGTGTTTCCTGCTGCTTTTTCAGATTTACATGAGCCCAGAAGTGATCCTGTGCAGGGGCCATTCGACCAAGGCAGACATCTACAGCCTGGGGGCCACGCTCATCCACATGCAGACGGGCACCCCGCCCTGGGTGAAGCGCTACCCTCGCTCAGCCTACCCCTCCTACCTGTACATAGTAAGTGGGGGTTTCCTGGGACTGAGGGGGTGGGATTCCACCTGCTCAGGAAAGCTGCTCTCCTTCCTGAGTGCTAGTGGCCCATGAGAGGCAGCCGAAAGTTCTTCTCTTGTGGAGAAAGCCTCATTCTTGCGAAGAAGACTTTGCTGGTTTAGTGGGAACTCACTAAAATGTATGTTAGGCATTAATGGTAAACTATTCTGTTAGACATGTAATAATAAAATGCCACTTAGTAGCCTCAGAGTAGCATAAATCTTTGAGCCAAAGCAGTTGTATGTGTTCTTTGAACACTTAAAACAATTATTAGGTTATAGGTAACCACACCAGCTTGCCCCATAGTGAAACACACAACTCCCATTTTATTGCTGGGAGACTTAGGAACAGGTACTTCCTCATGACGGCATGGTGACCCTTGGGCCACTGTTGAGATGTAAAGCTGTCGGTGTTTATTCAAACCTAGCATGTACCTCTTCACTGAACCAAAAGATGGGTTTAACTTGATGTTTTTAGGAAATTAAAGGGTAACTTGTGTAGGGTATGAACAGTATTTGCTGCAGGGCATGAGGTGGGAGACTGGTGAGTTTCCAGTTGGTGTTAATAGAGTCCTTTTCCTCTCGAGTGGGTGGTCTCAGGTACTGATGCTTACATGTACTGAGAGGGCTGGTTTGTTGATAGATCCACAAACAGGCCCCTCCATTAGAGGATATTGCGGACGACTGCAGTCCCGGCATGAGAGAGCTGATAGAGGCCGCCCTGGAGAGGAACCCCAATCACCGCCCCAGGGCAGCAGACCTGCTGAAACATGAGGCCCTGAACCCCCCCAGAGAGGACCAGCCACGCTGTCAGAGTCTGGACTCTGCCCTCTTTGAACGGAAGAGGCTGCTGAGTAGGAAGGAGTTGGAACTTCCGGAGAACATTGCAGGTACGGACACTCTGCTATGCGCGCTGCCCTTCTTTCTCTGTCACCATCACACCGCTGACGCTGACGGGGTGTGAATGCACTTGGAAGAAAGAATAAAGGGACTTCTTTGATGCCATAAGTTCTTTGAGAAATTTCAGCAAGAATGTTAGCAAAAGCATTTTTTAAAAATGGTTAATTTACCAGCAAGCCATAACAGGTTTTTAGTGCAAGTGTAGGTAACACATTCATTGAGAACTGCGTCTGACTTGCTTTTATGCAACAGAGAATAATATTAAGCAAATCGAGCAGGACAGTTTTGCTGTCGGTAAGGAGAGGGGTTCTGTGAAGTGCAGTTACGGTAAAAGCCACGCCAGTCCTTGTACGGAAACGTCAAGGCACTGCTCTGCCCGGATGAAGTGTTGTTTGAAGCCAAGCTGCATTTCTGTCTTCCTCTGCTTACACCGATATGAGTCTTTCCCATTTAGAGAATCAGCACATATTCCCAGAGCTTTGAATATGTGTGGGAGAGGGTTCTATTTTTGTTATTAAAATCTGTGGCATTCTTAATCCATTTAGTTCCAAACCCAGATGTCAAGCCTGGAATGCTTGTTTGCATTTCTGTGCTTCTTGTCTGACTTCTCCATATTTAAAGAGAACCATCTGGGACATTGGAAAATATACAAGGATTTCTAGCTAATTTCTTGCTGTCATTGACTCTTTTTTGAAGTCTCTTGTGTATGACATATTACATGGATTAGCACATGGTGTTCAGTTCTGTAGCTCTTTAGTTAAAACCAGGCCTTGAATGCTGTTTCATTAGGCCCAAGCTATTATTTTATTTTATTTTTTTGCAGAAGGAACATGTATTTAGTGTTGAACATGTTTCCCGGCCATTTATTTACTTTTTCAATGTTTCCCTTTTCAGATTCTTCATGTACAGGAAGCACTGAAGAATCAGAGATGCTAAAGAGACAGCGTTCTCTCTACATTGACCTTGGAGCCCTGGCTGGCTATTTCAACCTTGTCCGGGGTCCGCCAACATTGGAATATGGCTGACTGATGACATCGTTTGCTCTAAATTAAGACTCAGCTTTTATCTCCTGGAAGCTCGTTCTGCTGACTCTACACAGGGGCTCTGTCTAGTGCATTGGAGCACTTACTGGCTGGCACTGTGGGCTCCCATGACTCAGGAGTGTGACTCCATGTGGCTCCTGTGTGTGTGATTTGTGGAGCTGCCCTGGTACCCACCAGAGCTGAAGTCCTCATTTCTCAGGTGGTGTGACTGAAGGGGAGGAAGTTAAACATGTATAGGAGGATCGTTTCTGGTGACTGATTTCATTCACTGTGCACTTTGTTCAAATTTTTAAAAATACCAATTATAAGAGTAATATATTAGCCTAAAATTACTATTCTTGATTCTAACTTAAGTATGGGAAGTTCATTTAATGCAGAATAGTTGTTTTGTATAGATCAGTGTATATTAGCTAAGTCTCTGAGCCTGTGTTGGTAGATTCTAGTTTAAATTAAAGTTATATTTTGGGTGAATAGAACAACTTGAATATTGTAGCAATAAGCTGAACTAGTGTCTGGAAAGTGGCTCGCTGGTCAGTGCAGCGCCACCTGACAGCAGGCCATTAGTGCCGGGTTCTGTTGTGTTCCTATGGAAACATTTTGTACTGCACGTGCCATGCTTAAAACATTTAAAACATGACGTTTTGAATGTGGATAAAACTGTGTAAACCACATAATTTCTGTACATCCCAAAGGATGAGAACGTGACCTTCATGAAAAATGGAAACTTTTGTCAATTCTTAATGATGCTACTTTTGTACCTCCTATGACTATTTTCTTTCGAGCATTTGTATATTAAAATAGCATACTATGTATGTTTTATATCAAATGCCTTCATGAGTCTTTCTTATATATATATATTTAACATTGTAAAGCATGTGACTATTCCTACTTAAAGTATTTTTTTTATATCGTGCAAATGAAACCAACATTTTTATCTGATGTGATTGGTCAAGTCAACTGAATAAATTCAGTATTTTGCCTTAATTTCTGTGAAAGGTGTGATTCTCACCGGGACTGGAGGTGCACCCTAAGGGGTGGGATATAGGTTAGAGTGGAACATGTATCATAAGGAGGCAGAAGATACCTGAGAGCTTTGCAAATCGTGTGCATGCTCTTCTTGTATTGCTGCTGTGTCAGGCTGTCGTCATCTGGATTGGGTCGAATCCCTTTTGGATACTGAGGTCAAAAATTGTGAGCTGCCAGTTCAGGCTAAGTGTGGTTCTACTTTTGATGGTTTTTTTTTTTTACATTTGTACTATTTTGGAATATATGTGTATACTTGTATGTTCTGTGCCTGTTGGTGTTTGGCAAGTTAATAACTCACTTGCCTTTGCACAAGGTAGATTTCAATCATGCACACCAAATTCTAATGAAAACTGTTGAATGGGATTTGGACCCGCTGTTCACCGAGTGAATAGTATTACACTTTCACATGCATGGAGTAAAACACGCCAGCTCTGTAGTCTTCACCACACACGTGTAAAAGATGTATTGTTACCTCTAGTTTTACTCAGGGGGAAACAAAGCAAGGAAACAAACAAAGCTGGTATTTGAACCCAGATCTTTCTAACTTCACCGTTCAATTCTTCCTCATTTTATGCTGCTTTTAAACTATAAGTCATTTTCACTGCAAAGCAAGTAGTGTCCCCACTGGGAGTCAGGTCTCCAAATAAGGGTGAGGTGGATTGGCAGCAGAGCTAATGGCCCCTCAACCTCGGTTCCTCATTTGTGTGGGCCACTCCAAAACCTCGTGGCCATGTTCATATTATCCCTGATCAGGTGCAACAAAACCTGCACCTGAGTCAAGGTATGCAACTTTTGATGATGTTCATGAAAATGTAAAGAGTCAATATGAATTGAGTTCTAGTTAACAAATCCCACTTGGGAAAACCCCATTCTTTGAAATAAATTGGAGCACTCGTGGTGAGAACAGGCAATATTTGTTTTTAAAGAGGTGATTCATGCGTGGCACTGGTGGCTGAGAGCGTGGGCAGGACACCTGTGAGGGGTTCCTGAGGGCTGGACCCCACTGAGCACTTGCAGAGCTATTGACCTTGGAAACCAAGAGTTGCAAACCGAGAGGGGTCACCAACTAGAGGCTCAGCTTAAGGGAAGCTATGAGGCCCTGAGTAGATTCTGAGGAAATCCTTCACTCACCTCCTGCTAAGAAGATGAGCAGTGAGACTGTCAGTTTTGAGTGTACTTAGCACAGAATAACCTCACCCTGAAACCTGCCCACCTTCCAATCTTGAAGTTTCCATGTACTCAGGGATGCATTATTCTCCTGGTGTCTCTGTGTGACAATACACACAATGGAGTGTCACCAGCCTCAGAAGTTCATAGGAGCTTTGTTATCCAGAGCTTTTGTTGAGGCTTCATTAAGTAGGCATGGTTGACTGAGTCATGGCCCACATGTTACATTCAACCTCTAGCCTATTCCCGTCCTTGGAGATCAAACTGGTCTGTGGCTCAAAGTTCCAACCCTCTAATTATATGATTAGTTTTTCTGGTGTAGCCAGTCCTCACTTTAAGTCTTTTGGTGCAGGCAGGGACCCCACACTGAACCACCTGTTAGCATAACCTATCAGGTGTCCATCATGAGTCCTTTTATTAACATAAACTATTAGGTGTGATGTAAGGGGCCCACTGTGACTAACAACACATTCCTATTACTTGGGACATTCCAAGGGTATAAAGTTGACTCCCAGGAGCAGGGAGTTAACCTCTCTTTGAGTAAAGAGAATTCATCACTACACAGCATCTTAGAACTGGCAGGTTGGTGTGCAAGACAGACAGACTGCACACATTTCCCTAAATGAATATTTAAAGTCAAAAACCAAGAAAAAACAACTTGGGACTTAGAGAGGTTTTAGTCTTCAAATGCCATCAACACATTTTTCTTTTTTTCTTTCTTTTTTTTTTTTTTTTTGTCTTCAGCTACTTAAACTTCATGGTATAGGCTGGGACAATTTACTATTACCAGACACAGAAATGAGAGATGACACCCCTAAATAATGACTACTGTAGTAGTAGCGCTTAGTTAAACCAAAGATTATAGCAACTTTACCTTACCTTATTCTGGTGGTTCATAGTTTATAATGCTTCATATACCTTATCCCTTGGATTGTTAGTCATAATGTAAAACAGAGTATAAATAGTTTAACAATTGAATGACAACATAGTAAAAAGATTATTCAACTTTTCCATTCAAGAATTGGGTTGTACTAGAATTCATTTTACCAGCACTGCAGAAGCATCTTTTACATGACAATTAATATGCTAATTTAGATTCATCTAGGAAATCTAGTATGTGGCAATCCTTTGTTAATATAGTTGAAGATATTTTGTTCATCTAGAAGTTTGAAAAAAAATAAAAACAAATTACTATGCCTCCTATATACATGAGAGAGACCTAGAAAAACTAATTCTTGAAAATTTAGAACTTAGTAGTATTTTTTTCTCTAAAATCAAACTTAAGTTAGTGTGACATGAAAAAATTAAGGTAAAGCAGATAAAAGAACTTTTCTTCTTGGAAGGAAGCTATTTGCCATTTAGGCAGAATATTTACCCCCTGTTCCCTAGGTAGGTAGAAACTCTTTCATGTCTCTTCTTGAGAATGTATAAAATTTTTTTTACTTCTACTATTATATCAACCTACCTATCAGGAGTTTTCAGATGCAGAAAGTTATATCCTCATCATTTCCTCCTTTAAAATTTCTGTATTTAAACTTTTTACAAATTCATACTCATCAAACTAAAGAGGCTTACCTTAATACTCCTTGATAAGGAGAATGTGTTTATATTGGAAAGGTGATGAGTTTAAGCAGGTAATGTTGATATTTGAGGTGCCTGTGAACATCCAGGTGGAGGTGTCCAGTAAGAGGACAGATATATAAACCTAGAGCTCAATATTAGAGTCTGATTTGGAGCTGAATATATGGCAGAGAAATCACAAATATGAAAAAGATCACTCTGGAAAAGCATATAGTATGAAAAGAGAGCTGGGGACAGATCCCTGGGGAATATCATTTAAGATGGTATAAAGAAAGACCTTAAATAATAGTCATGAAAGTAGGAGGTCAAGAGCAAATAGTATCAAGGAAACCAAGGACAGTGTTTCAAAAACGAGGTATCACCCAGAGTGTTATATGCAGCAGTGATATCCAGGAAGATGAAGACTAAGTAACAGCCAATGGATTTGGTAATTTTATCGGTGGGGACAAACCAGATGACTATAGTTTGAGGGGTGAATGAGAGGTTAAAAATGTGGAAGTATCAAATGCAAGCTACTTTTATGGAAAGTCATGGTCAAGAGGAGAAACAGAAAAACAGTGATAGCTAGGAGGAGATACAGGACAAAAGGAGGTTTATTTCGTTATTTGTTTGTTGTTTTGTTTTGCACGAAGCATAGTAGAGACTTCACGTACACTGGAGGGGAAAGGCCTGGGAGAGAGGGGGAGAGATTGAGATCCAGGCGTGCAATATTCAAGGTCCAATCAGGAGACAAATCACATGTTATCTGACTGTAGAAAACTTAATACAAACAATTGCTAAATATATACAAAGCTATTTATCAGGTAGTTTAATTAAAATGCAAGAGGAGACATAAAGGGATGTGAAAGTAGCAGCTGTAAAAATTATCACTCTTAGGGCTGGAGGACCAACAGGAGCAGGTGGGAGATGGAGTGTGTCAGAGGGATTTGGGGGAGGAAGAGATTTTTTGCAAAAGTCAAAGAATCAAAGAATATTTGATTCAAAGAATCAAATATTCAAAGAATATTTTATGAAGATGTTCCTTGAGCTGAGCTTAAGTAGAAACGAAAGAATATCCCAAGAGTTACACATGACCTGCAAATAGTAACCGCTTAATAAATATTTGTTGAATAGATGATGAAGGAACAGAGTGAGCAGACATTGAGAGGACAAAATATGGAAAAATTTGGGGGGGACAGTAAGTTTGGGGCTTGTGTGGTGGGAAATAAGGCCGCACAGAAAGAATAGGGATGGGCAGGCAGCTTTGAACGCCAGGCTAATGAGTTTAGACCCTATTTTAGGAAGCCAGTGAAGTCTGAGTAGGGAAGTGACACACTAGACCAAAGATTTCTGGACAGTTGATGTGTCCGTGGTCTGTAGAAAGAACTGGAAGGAGAGCGAAATCGCAGTCGTTAGTTAGGAGGCCCTGGATCGGGGTGACAGTAAGATCAGAGGGGGCAAAATAGATAGAGGATAAAAACATTGGCCAATTGACTCAAGCGCTGACTGGAGTTGCTGGAGGAGGAGAAAGGGAAACTGAGGTTCTAGGCACTTGGGAGGAATGGCAGAAAGAAGAAAAGAAACGACGGAAGAAGAGGAACTTTTGAAGGGAAGGGATAATTCTGTGGGGAAAGACTGGATACTCTAGTGGAGGGAACGGTGGGCAACGCAGGTCTGCAGCTGAGCGAAGTCCCCGAAGCTGAGCGAAGTCCGGGCAGCGGGGGTTGGGAGCTGTCTGCGCCGAGACCTTGACCCCGGTCGCGGTGGGGAGCGCGCCGAGCATCTCGGCGTCGGCGCGTCCAGAGCCAGCTCTCCCACCGGAATCCGAGCTGCACCGCCTCCGGGTCACCAGTTTTCACCTAGGCTGGACCTCCGCGGCTCGGAAGAGGTTCCAATGTCTACCCTGCCCCAATTCAAGGGACTCTTGGTAACCTAAGGATAACGCGGGTAGCGACTGCGATCCCGGCGGGACAGCGGAGCGCGCGCTTTCCCGCCCGAGGCGGGTCCCCGCCGCGCGCGCACGCGCGCGTCCTGAGTCGCCTAGCAACCCGGGACAACAGCTGGACTGGGACT